GGGGGGGGGAATTGGAGGGAGAGATGAACCATGAGAGACTATGGACCTGAGAAACAAGCAGGGTTTTAGAGGGGAGGGGGGATTGGTTAGCTCGGTGATGGGTATCAAGGAGGGCACGTACTGCATGGAGCACTGGGTGTTATATGAAAACAACGGATCGTGGATCACCACATCAAAAACTAATGATGTATTGTATGGTGACTAACATAACGTAATAAAATAAAAAATAAAAAAAAAAACAAAATAAAGGCTTAGGACTACTTGGGAACCATGTACAGGTAAATGAGTGAGGAATACTACAAAATCTTTATTAAGTAGTAATCGAGAAACAGCCTCTAGTTCTCAAATCTGGCAATGTTTAGGAGGGCTAAAAGGACACAGAGGAAATTGGTGATGGTTTCAGTATATGTGCTGCCGAAGCGAGCACTTTGTGACGGTTTTAAAATTAATCAAGGGACAGATGACTTGCTGGAATTCTTTTATGCCAGTATCAATATGTAATTGGAATATATAGCTGCCTCAGCAATGAAACTACCCCAACATCCAAATGAAAGAATATCATCATGCACATAATATATGCAATATAAAGCAGAATAAATACTAATGATAACTACCTAAGGACATGTTTTCCTCAAGTTTTGCTTACCAATTCTGTAATAATGATCCAATTTATCCCACAGAGTTTCATTATCAGGTCTCGGAAGATTAATGCTTTTAAGAGGTTCATAAACTGAGCCTAAAAGAAAAATGAAAACTCATCAAATTCAATCATTTTCCCTGAGAAAAACAAAGAAAACTTCTAAATAAATGAAAAAGCACTACTTAGCAATCTAACTTTCATTTTTATATGTGAACTACCACATTGTATTCCTGGTCAAATTTTCGGGAGGGAAAGAGAGAGAAGAAAGTGCCCTTGTAACAAGTATAGAAGGGTCTTAAATGTTATGGGAACCCCTACCCTCACCCCTGACATACACACACACACACACACACACACACACACACACACACATATATACTGGTTCCAACAACTCAAATACCAGTAATACTTATGTGCTAGTCACAAGTTCAGTCATTTCAGCTCCTTTTGAGAAATATCTACTTAAATGCCCTGAAATCCAAACCTTATTCTTTATGCTCATGATCAGGCAATTTTCTGTCAAATGATCATATCCCAAAAACCTCAAGGAAAAAAGATAATGCTGACATGTTCCAAAGTCATCCACTCCATGAATATTCAGATAGTTTTCATACTGAAATTCTGAAGCCTCCATTTTCTCCTAGGTAGATAAAACTCATGCCTTATTATCTGACTAAAGCAGAAACCATTTCTACTTCTCAGCCATGAAAACTACTACAAGGTATTAGCAGAGCATACTGCTCAAAAGCTACAGAATACACAATAATTATGATAATTTTCCACAAAATGGATACAGAAAATTGTTCACTTGACTAGTGCACATTTTCAACTACTGACTGAAAGGAAGACATCTGGACCTTCAGCCATCAGACTAAGTACTGGCTCTCATTCTTGTTAAAAGCATTCAGAAATTATAAAATCTCAAGGTCACAACAAATCCACCTCTGGATTCAGGTAATATACGTCATATAGTCTAACAACACAGCACAAGAGTGGCCCTAAAATTTACCTGGGGTTGGAAGGGGAATGTGTTGGCATGCATTAAGAATCTTTTTCTAAAAAAATTAAAGCACTTATGTTCATAAAAGTGCTATGTCCAGTATGCTAGTATAAAGCCAAGGTATTTGGAATCCCTTTATGTTTAGAGAGATAATAAACATTATGAAGGAAGAAAGGAAAGCATCTATACATTAAGGCAATAATCTCATTATCTTCTGTTGGAAAGAGAGATGATTTATGCATCAAAACAGGAATATGAAATGACCGGAGTGAAGAGATTTTCTAAAAAAGAGTCTTCATAATGATACCAAGCAGAATGGTCCCAAAGGGTAGAATGGGGAGGCCTACCAACCTAGACAGGAAAGCATCAGGAGTTCTGCACAAGAGGCAAGGGCCCGGCCCGGCCATGCCCTCTGCCTCCCTGCATTCAATAGCTCTGGGTAGGTATACGTATATGGGCAACCCGGCAGTTTGGAAAAAGTAATATGGCCACTGCTTACACGTTAGGTGCTAAGCTCTGGGAATCGACAACCTCTCTGTGAAGCTCATTCAATAATTAATAAAATAAAATCAGGTACAAATCATCACAAGTTTTAAATTGTGAATACATATATACAAAAATAAAAGGAGACACCTTTGCTGAGGTGGAAGGACTGTAGATGAATAAGATTTCTATTTTTATTTAGAATTCTATTATTAGAAAAGCTAATATTTTGCTTTATATAAGAAAAAGTCACCAGAAGTTGCATATACTTTCATTAGTTAAAACAATACATGTGCATATGGATACAAATTGAAATAGAATATATAAGACTGAAATCCACCTGTATATCTACCATAATAATTGTAAGCAAGTTTATTTTGAAAGATTGTTTTAATGACATTGTATCATGGGTTTTAGGGTAAAAAAAAAGTGCTATTACATCTAAGGTGCCTCTCACCTCCCAAAAAAAGACTAAAATGATTCTGTTATCTAATGTTTCTCAATGAAATCACCAGTGGACTTTGGTAAAAGCTACAATAAATAAACAAAAGGAAAACCAGACTTTTCAGGAAAATAAAACCTATGCAGTAAGAGCTAAAAGAGATGTTCAAAGCATAGCAGAAAAGTATTAAAGTAAAGTCACCTAACTCACTAAGAATCAATATTTTCTTATACTTTCTCATATCTTCAAAGAAAGCCCATGGTGAATTAAGAACAGCTTGCCTAGATAAATGTTAACATTTTAGTGATCACCATTGTATTGCTTCTGAAGTAACTACATAAAATTAAACAAGTATGTTCCACACAATTTATGGCAAACAGTACCACAAATCTGGAGTCAAAGGAAAAGTAATCAATGGTAACATTTTAACCAAGAATTAGACACCTGAAAAGCTTCAATACAAATAAAAATGTGGAGGAGAAAGCAATCAATAGAGCATGAATTCCCAAAGACAATGGAAAATATGTAAAATTAGAGAAAACGCTAATAAATGTTTAGAGTTCAAAATGAAATGAAGTTTTTAAATGTGAATTCTTCCTTTTCCTGTTTCTCCCAGTCAAATTACTCCTATATTCAAACATCACAAAGTAAAATAAAAATTATCTTTTTCCATTTGTAAAGATGAGTTTAAACATGTTGATCTGATTTTTCCCTGTCAATTCTCTTGCTATTAGAAAAATACAGCCAACCTACTCTTCATTTCAGAACACATTATTGCCAAAGACATTCACTGACAAAGAACAATACAAGAAGAGGCAGAAGTTGTTCCTTGAAGAGTAATATTTAGCTTTATCATGAAAGAGAAAAGGGTTATTATTTAGGAGATTAAACAAGGAGTTTCCTAAGAAATTTCCATGAGATGAAAACAAAACTAAGAGCATAACAAAGGTACAAACTTGATGAATTTGGCACTATAAAATACCGACAAAATTCTGAGTGTTATGGGGAGGCTCTTAAGCAATCACAAAATAGTACTGGTAATTAAAATAGCAACCACTAAAAGAATAAAAATGAGGACTCAAAAGGGAAGTCAAAGTGGAAAACAGATCAGCAAACCAAAACCGTATCAATAGTCTATTATTTGGGCACACAATTTTTCATTATATGATTGAAAGCCCTTTAATAGGGTATATACAAAAATGTTATTAATCAAGACTTTCATGAACCCTTAAGTGGCTTTATCATTTTTTCATGTATGGTGATAGACTAAAATACCATTATTTATTCATTCAGTTAATACATACAGTGTATGCATAAAACTCTGGACTATACATCTAGTAGGCTACCGGGACTCACAGATTAGTAGGAAAGGTAAGATAAGGTTTTGAATAAGAGTAACGCCAGTTAGAGTGGTGAGTTTCTTAAAAGACAAAGGATAGGAAAATTCAGTCCCCCTGAGGGGCTGAGAGAAACGAAAACTCCTGCATTGCAATCTCTGAAAATAACAGCAATTTCAAATAATGAACTGCCATCTGAATAGGAAGATAACAACTGAAATCTAGGAGAACATGAAGTCATACACATATATACGTTACCTGCAGACATATTATCAGAGCTCAAAAGCTTATACATGTGTCTTATGAAACAAGACACTACATACCAAGGTATTTTTTGCAGTGATATACATGAAAAGGTTTAGTTGAAGAAGGTATATAGATAACAGGGTAGATTTTATTGAACACTGATCCAAGTATGCCCTTTCATGAGATAGGGAATTTTATTACAAATCTAAATCCTTAGAAAGGCCTACAGGATTCTGATCTTCTCCCTCAATTAAAATAATTTCTTTTAAGATTAAAAAAAATACAACATTCCATCAGCCTAAAACAGGCATCGCTAACATTTTGGTACATTCCTTTCAAGCATTTCTTTAAGCAATATTTATAAACATTAATAAAATTTACCAGACGTGGAGTCATAACATACATGCTGTTTTTATCATCCTTTTTTCCCTTATCTCACTTCTTGCCCTCTTCTGTCCTCATTCCCAGGTAACCACACTTTTTCCATATCTATATAACGAAACATATATGCATAAATGAGGGAAGAGTCTTTCATTGCTTTTTTTATAAAAATGGAGTCATGAAATAGACCATTCTTTGCTTCTTGTTTGTCTCATTTGACAACACACATGGAAATCAAAAAAGGCAATGGTTCTTTGACTGCTATATATTCCTGGGTTTTAATACAGCACAACTTATTCAATTATTCCTCTACAGTGAGTATATAATTTGTTTTCTATTTTTGCCATCATAAACAATCTGCAAAACATCCTTATACATAGATACAGCAATAGTGTGCTAGAACCAACTAATACTGGTTGGAGAGAGTCAAGTGTTAAATTTTCAGGAATTCTGGGAGCTGGTTATGAAACACATAAATGAAAATTAAATTATAAAAACAACTGGATAATTATCAAAAACAAAGGTAATAAATATTCAAAACTCATCACTTCCTAATTATATAGGCTCTTGAACTGGCTTATATCTATAGATCTGTACATTGGAAATACCACGCAACAGCATGTTACAACATGTCTCTTTCTAACTCCGCATTCAGTGATATCATGTAGATTTGAGCAGTTGTGACAAAAACTAAATGGTCTGCAAAAGCCTAAAATTTTTACCATTTGGCCCTTTATAGAAGAAGTTTGCCTGCATCTAATCTAAATTCCCAGTAGTATTAAGTTCAGCAATAAATGTACTTTTTACTAAATAATAGCAAACTGCATTTTTTAAAAGGCTAAAACAATTCATATTCCTCCTAGATATAAGTGCGCCATTCTTTTAAAAGTTTTTCCAGGGGCACCTGGGAGGCTCAGTCGATGGAGTGTCTGACTCTTGATTTTGGCTTAGGCCATGGTCTCAAGAGTCATGAGATCGAGGCCTGTGTTGGGCTCTGTGCTGAGCATGGAACCTGTTTAGGATTCTTTCTCTCCCTCTCCCTTGGCCCCTCTGCTTGTGCTCTCTCTCACAGAAAAAAAAAAAAAGATTTTCCAATCTAATAGTATCTCACTTTTGTTTTTCATTTCTCATACAATTCATGAGTCTGAAAATCTTTGCAAACTGGCCATTTGGATTTGCTCTTCTGCGAATTGCCTACATCCTATTG